ACTTCCTTCCTTACTTTACTTCCCTTTCCCCCACCCCCTTTCTCTCTCTCTCTCTCTCTGCATTCCCTCGCTCTCTTTCTTTATCCCCACTTCTCTTTTCTCTCTCTCTTTCTCTGTTTTACTCTATCGATCATCTTCCCCTCCCATCACTATCTCTCTCTCTCTCTTCCCTCTCTTTTCCTTTCTTAATTCTTCTCTCTCTCTCTCTCTCTCTCTCTTCCCTCTCTTTTCCTTTCTTAATTCTTTCTCTCTCTCTCTCTCTTCCCTCTCTTTTCCTTTCTTAATTCTTTCTCTCTCTCTCTCTCTCTCTTCCCTCTCTTTTCCTTTCTTAATTCTTTCTCTCTCTCTCTCTCTTCCCTCTCTTTTCCTTTCTTAATTCTTTCTCTCTCTCTCTCTCTCTCTCTCTCTCTGGATTCTGTCTTCCCGTCTCCGTTCTTTTCTCTCTATCTCTAATTTCCTTCTCTCTCTAGTTTCCTCTCTGTTTTATTTATCGATTCCTTTTGTTTTGTTAAAACTCTTTCTCGCTCTCTGATTTCTTTCTCTCTCTGTCTGGATTCTCTCTTCCCCTCTCTCTCTCTCTGGATTCCAACCTTCCCCCCTCTCTGTATTATCTCTCACTCTCTCTCTCTCTCTCTCTCTCCCTCTCTTCTTTTTTGGGAGTTTTGTTGCAAAACCATCACAATGTCAGTATGAAGACACTGAATATGTAACATGATAACTCGGGTGAAGTCGACAGGTGACTCACACCATAAGTAAGAGATTATGTCCTCACAAACATACCACCCGAGCTAACAACAGCCAAATCCATAACGTTTATGCTAATAACTCACCAGAGCTTTCAAATCAAATCAAATCTTACCTTATGTATTTTTAAAAAGTTGTACTTATTATTTATAGATTTGCCTGAAAGCAGTTTAGACACTTGGGTTTAAATGAATGGAATTGTAGGGGGAGGCACAAGGGCAGCTCTGTATCAGCCGCGCTCAGTCGCTCGCACTCCCATCCCTGGGTCAGAAGTTTGTGGGTTCAGGCCTCTCATCAGGGACTCTGTCCGGGCTGACAATTCAGTGCATTGCTGGGGGGTGAGGGGAGGGGGAGCCCTGCATTATCAGAGATGCTGTGCTGTGGATGAGACATTAACCCACCATCCCGCCTGTGCCTGTTCAGGTGGACGTTAATCATCCCTTGACACGATCGGAAAAGAAAAGGGAGTTTTTCCCAGGGTCCGGGCCAACAGTGCCTCCGATAAAGTAACCATTCATGAGACTTTTCAGCGTTAGAAATGCTAAACTGAATTCAAGTGCAGTATTACTTGTGAGTATTTGTTATGACTTAAGTGTGTAGTAGAGTTTCATTTCAGAATTACAGACCTAATGTACAGCACTGACCATTCTTTGATTGTTTTGCTGATATAAAATTTATTATACAGTTAGATGTGAGATGGTGTTCCTTTGGCGGTTGCTAGGTGTTGCTATGGGGGGGTTGCTAGGTGTTGCTATGGGGGGGTTGCTAGGTGTTGCTATGGGGGTTGCTAGGTGTTGCTATGGGGGTTGCTAGGTGTTGCTATGGGGGTTGCTAGGTGTTGCTATGGGGGTTGCTAGGTGTTGCTATGGGGGTTGCTAGGTGTTGCTATGGGGGGGTTGCTAGGTGTTGCTATGGGGGGGTTGCTAGGTGTTGCTATGGGGGGGTTGCTAGGTGTTGCTATGGGGGTTGCTAGGTGTTGCTATGGGGGTTGCTAGGTGTTGCTATGGGGGTTGCTAGGTGTTGCTATGGGGGTTGCTAGGTGTTGCTATGGGGGTTGCTAGGTGTTGCTATGGGGGTTGCTAGGTGTTGCTATGGGGGGTTGCTAGGTGTTGCTATGGGGGTTGCTAGGTGTTGCTATGGGGGTTGCTAGGTGTTGCTATGGGGGGTTGCTAGGTGTTGCTATGGGGGTTGCTAGGTGTTGCTATGGGGGTTGCTAGGTGTTGCTATGGGGGTTGCTAGGTGTTGCTATGGGGGTTGCTAGGTGTTGCTATGGGGGTTGCTAGGTGTTGCTATGGGGGTTGCTAGGTGTTGCTATGGGGGGGTTGCTAGGTGTTGCTATGGGGGTTGCTAGGTGTTGCTATGGGGGGTGCTAGGTGTTGCTATGGGGGGTTGCTAGGTGTTGCTATGGGGGTTGCTAGGTGTTGCTATGGGGGTTGCTAGGTGTTGCTATGGGGGTTGCTAGGTGTTGCTATGGGGGTTGCTAGGTGTTGCTATGGGGGTTGCTAGGAGCTGCTGTGCTCGGGTACCAGCCCAGCGCCCCCGGGTGGTCAGTAAGGGTATGACAGAGGGCACATCTTTATTCTGCGATTCAACAAACCAGGGATGAGGGGAACAGAGGGGACCGGCGCCCGGTGTGTAAACTCTTTCCTTCCTTTCTATATCAGTAAATCTATAGCTTCTTTCCCCCCTTTTGCGCATCGCCTTTTTCCCATTGCTCTCCCTAACGCCTTGTCCTGGGCCCGAGCGCGACAGAAACAAGTGCAGCTTTTACATCAAAACCGTCTCACAGGGCTTCACGGCAATTACTTAAGGGCAGAGATGGTTATCTGTAGGTCAGACTGGAGACCATTTGCAACCGGTCAGGTACCAGTAACAGCCATGAGGCGAATAGCAAATGAATCCTCTCTGGTCCTGTCTTACAAACACGGAAATATATAGAACAATTATATTTCTTGAAAGAGGATTATTGCAGATGTTAATTTATCTTGAGACAATGTACGAAAAATCCGGGCTGTCGCTCCAGCGCAAGGCTGGGGGAGCGCTGAGTTGTTAGAGGTGCCGTCGTTCACGCAAAACGAGGATATGTCAGCCTGTTCAGGTGGGTCTTAATGATCCCATGATGCTAAGAGTCTCTCCCGGTGTCCTGGCCAACAATCCCCTGGATAAAATTGGTCATGTACCTCATTGGCATTTTGTGGGACGTTGGGTGTGTGCAAAATAGCTGCAGAGTTTGCACAGTCACTACAGTAGACAACAGGTTCATGCCACGCACTTTTGACGATCCAGGTGCCATGTATATCAAATGCAAGGATTATTCGCCAGGAGCCTGAATGCCGAGGACTCAGGTGAAATGAACCCGAGGCATTTAAACCGTGGTGTGTAGCGCCGCCTGCAGTTCGAAATCGAGAGTGCCACAAGTACCTTGATTTGAGCACATAGCCCACAGCGAGCATCGCAAAAACTCAATCAGCTATTCACAGGATAGCACAAAATATAAAATCACACGCACAATATTATTCACAAGACTCAAATCCGAACTTTACTTTCTGGTTTAAAATTAAAACCAACAAAAATATAAATATCAATAAAAAATACCCCCTTAATAGAGATGGGAACCTCTGATTCCTGAATATCACGGGTTTATTCTCTTTGATCCTTCGTATTTCCATAATTGGAATAAAATGTGTCATTAGGGAGACAGAAGGGAAGAGCGCAGAGGCTGATGTGAGATCGTTGTGAAAGGGTCAAATTAAAGCATTGATGGAAACGATCAGATCTGGGCCGTGGGGGGGGGGGGTGCGGGGGGTTGCGTTTAATTAAGGGAAAGAGATTATTTCGACCTTTTTTGGCCCCCTGTGACACTGCTGTGCATAATTGGCTGCCGTGTTTCCCCCACAGATATACAATCAATTCACTTGACAGTATATTTCTGTGAAGCGCTTTGAGAGGTCTCAATGAGGTGATAAGGTGCTGTACAAAATATAAGGATTATTAATATGGCTTTCCAGCTCCCCAGGAGCACAGGTTGACCACTTCACCTGGTCCATCGAGCTTTCACTGGTACACTCTGCTGATCTACAGTGACACGCTCAGTCCTCCTCAAGGCAAGCGCCAGCAAAGTGGGTGGATGGGTCCAGGTCAGGGGTTATGTGTGGATGTTGTGAGAGCAGTCAAACGAAGGCTGCGAGTGAGCAGCGACAGGGACTGGCAGCCAATAACAACAACAAATTACACTGACACAGCGCCTTTCACGTCAGGAGGACGTCCCAGGGCGCTGGACAATGAGGGGTTTGCACCCGAGCTGTGCCGCGGGTTGGGATCAGGGGTGAGGGATGGAAGGGGAAGGTGGAGGAGGGAAGATGACCAAAAGCACGTTCGAAAAGCAAAGTCTTAAGATGGGGAATAGCAGCAGAAAAGAACTGCAGCCTGGCTGTACTGTACTGTAGCACTCTCCACTCCACATCCCCACAGGCTCCTCATCCTTTGTCAAAATAAAATCACACACACCACAATCCTTCAACCCCACCCCCACCTTCCACTGCCTCGTTTTCTTTTAACAAACACTTCTTTTTTGACCGAAAAGACAAAAACATTTGGAATATTTGCTGAAAATTACAGTCACTATAAAGTTTTTTTTTGAGAAACACGAGAGAGATAGACAGACAGACGGGTTAAAGGGCAAAATGGGTGTGATAAACATTGCGAAAATGACCAGTTTGGACATTTTGATCAGGTTTAACTCCTTTACTTTTCACCCACAAAACACACAAGTCACCGCACTCTACTGTATATTCCGTGAAGCGCTTTGAGACGTCTTGAAGACGCTATATCAAATGCAAGGATTGTTATTATTATTATTAACTGTTAAGGATGCTGTGCTGAGCTCTGACTGGTACCTAACCTCAGCCCCAGTGACGATAATGTTGGGAGTGTTTCACAGACTGGGCTCAGACTCCACACAAGAGACAGAGGCTGCTCACTGCTCGTTTCTGCACCGTGCAGTTTAGTTACTGAACAGAATATAACCTGGAGAAGAGGCCAGGGTAGGGGGGGTGGGGGTTGGTAGACTTAGATAGAGTCTTAGACAAGGGGGCTGGGAGACTGGGGAGCTCTAGCTTTGCAATAAGGATGGGAGCGGCGGCACTGGTACTCTCTCTCTGTCTCTCTCTCTCTCTCTGTCTCACTCTCTGCCCGCGTATAAACAAAAAGGGTTTCCAGGGGGGACATAATGAGCAGAAAATGGAGCTGCCGTTTACCTGAGCCACTTGAATGCTGATGAGGATGAGGAAGGTCAGGATGAGAAGTCTGGGAGAAGGTTGCATCCTCAGTATCAGGAGATGCCTGGCTCCTGCTCTTTGTCCTGAGATGTTGCTGTTTGTGCCTCCTGTGTGTGTGTGTCTCTCTCTCTCTCTCTCTCTGTGTCTCTCTCTCTGTGTCTCTCCAGCCCCCGGAGTCTCTGGCTGCCGCTTGTCTTGTCACTCGCTCCCGGTCTCTCGCTCTGGCATATCCCTGTGTCTGAGGCTCCCGGACGGTCGCTGCATCGCAGCCCCCCCACCCACCACGCAGCGCGGCCGCCGAGCGGGTCCCCAGACCCGAGAGAGAGAGAAAGAGAGGAGAGAGAAAGAGAGGAGAGGAGAGAGGCAGCGAGAGCGAGAGCAGAGAGGCTGCACCAGGATGTGACATCAGGCGGAGGGAGGCAGGCTCGCCCAAACAGCAGCTCGTAATTACTGTGCCATACACACAGAGCGAGAGACAGACAGGCAGGAAAGACAGGTGGAGAGATGGAGAGAGAGATGGAGAGAGAGAGATGTCAAGAGAGAGTGAGAGAAAGAGAGAGATAACAAGAGAAAAAGAGAGAAGAGAGAGACGGTAAGAGTAAAAGAGAGATGGCAAGCGTGAGAGAGAGATAACAAGGGAAAATAGATGGAAAGAGTACAAGAGAGATGGCAAGAGCGAGAGAGAGAGAGAGATAACAAGGGAAAAGAGAGAGATAGAGACAGAGAGATGGAAAGAGTAAAAGAGAGATGGCAAGAGAGTGTGAGGGAGTGAGATAACAAGAAAAAAATAGAGAGATGGAGAGATGGAAAGAGTAAGATAGAGATGTCAAGAGTGAGAGAGAGAGATAGAATGAGTGAAAACAAGAGAAAAATAGAGAGAGAGAGATGGAAAGAGTAAAAGAGAAATGGCAAGAGTGAGAGAGAGAGAGAATGAGAGATAACAAGAGAAAAAGAGAGAGAAATAGATAGAGAGTTGGAAAGAGTAAAAGAAATGTCAAGAGAGAGTGAGAGATAACAATAGAAAAATAGAGAGATAGAGAGAGAGAAAGGGAGATTAAGAAAGAGAAATAGAAAGCAAGAGATAGAGAATAACTAGTCAACGATATGGAGAGATAGAAAGAGAGATATAGTCAAAAACAGACAGAGTGAAAGGAAGAGTTAGAGAGAAACAGATGGAGAAAGAGACAGAGAGAAACAGAGATACAATATATGACAACAACAGTTTGCAGTTGAACAGAGTATCTTGCACAGGGTTGCATCCCAGAGTGTTTGACATTGGCGGAGCACAATGCCAAGCCGGGGGGGGGGGGGGGGGGGGGGGGAGAGGGAGGTGATCATAGGCACAGTTGAAGAGGAAGGTCTTCATGTGCGACCTCACGATGAGGAGGGAAGGGGCAAGGCCGAGGGATAGAGGAAGCATGCTTCAGAGTTTTGGGGCTAGTGGCAGAAAGCACGGCCACTGATGGTGGAACAGAAGGTATATAAAGAGAGATAGAGAAACAGAGCTCGATAGAAACACAGAGAGCGAGAGATAGGCAATGAGAGAGATAAAGACAGAGAGATATAAAAAGATAGAGATAGCAATGATAGAGAAATGGACGGACAGACAGACAGACGCATACACACAGAGGAATGAGCCAGAGTGAGAGAGATAGAGAGAGACAGAGGAGGAGAGCCTTTTTTTTTGGTCAAGAGAAACATCTGACATGTGGAAACCCATCACCACGCTTAAGAGAATCCAAACCAAACGGAGTTCCACGCAGCCCACCTACACATGGAATCTTCTCTTGTCTGGAATGCAATGTACACTGTCTTCCTGGAGGGACACATCCTGAATACATGATTACATGGTGTATTAAGTGCAGGTTGGAAAGACCTAAGGCTTGGGGAACTCAGAGTGTGCGTTGGGGTAACCCCTGGAGTCTAACCAGCTAACACCACATTGTGAGCACTGTCCAGTAAGCTTCCTGCTATTTATTCAGCCTACCGGTTAGGGCTTTGGCTTGCAGGGTTAATGGGAATTGAATGGGAAGGATCCCTACCCCCAGTGACTGGTCTGACCCTCCAGTTCCTGCCGATGAGCCAAGTTGGGCTTGTCTGTCATCAGCAATGTTTTGGAGTACTGCAGACCTGCCTGGCTCAGGAAACGGCCTAGAGACCGTCACACTGGCTTGATTCAGACATTCTGTTGCCAAGCATGGCATCCTGGTGTGAGTTCAGTTCCAAGGAGACCATGTTGACCTCCCCCACCACCTCAAGACAGGAGGAGAGTCACCAGTTGATCATTTGACGTCGGAGAGGTCTTGGCTGATTGTGCCCTTCTCTAACTCCGAAGACTGAGAACAGTTACACAGCTCGGGGTGGGGGGGCGGAATCGAGGTGGGGGGAGGGTTGTGTTGGGGGGTGCATTGCTGCTGTGTTCGGTTTTGTTCCACACACAAAAAGCTGCATTGATCCATCAGCAGGAGCTCAGCGATTGTTGCCTTCAGCCCTGAGCTGCCATCATCAATGCCCATTACCTCGTAACCATCTCCCGGCTTCCAATACTGTTCGAAATGAGGCAAAACTCTCAGCTGCACGTTTCTACTCCAGGAGACGGTGGCTTTGCCGTGGGTCCATCCTGCGGGGACAGGAGGGGATTTGGGGCACGTGTCGTGTATGTTTAAGCCAGCGTGGATGCGATGCAGCTCTGCTCTGCAGTAATTGATGATTCCTCCTGGATCCTCTAAATAGAACAGCGACAAAGAACAGTACCATTATCTTGTAGCCGTTACCTGGCTCCTTTTCACACTCAGCAGTGACTGAGCCCCATGCTGGGCTGGGGACAGATATTAAATAGGTTTCTCTTTCTCCTCTCTCTCAGCGTTTGTTCCAAAGACACTTGAAAGAATTGCGTCATTGGCTGGCTTTGTCGGCAGTGCCGATAACTTGTTGTCTCTTTGGCTGTCAATAACTTGCCCTAATTATCAGTGAATCAATCAGAGCTGAGGTCTGGGCGGCAGATTTGCTGTTAATAGTGTTTCATTGATTTCTCGGAGAGAAACCTCAGTTTGTGGTGAATCCTGAGAAAGCGCAGAATCAGGAAAGACCCATTTGCCCAATCATCTCCCTGGCCTTGCCCCCTGTCTGCCTAGTTCAGGCTCTCGCTTGCTGGTCAGAAGTTTATGGGTTCAAGCCCCATGTTGCGACGTTGAGCTCCCAGTCCAGGCAGATGCTCCAGCGCAGTGCTGGGGGGGTGGGGGGAGAGCTACATTGTGGGAGGCGACGTTCTTCAGATGATAGGTTTAACAGCCTTTTAAGCACTCTGAGACGCTACCCTGCACGGAGGGTGCTATATAAGTGCAAGTTGTTGTTGTTGGAGCTCAGTTCCGCTTACTTCCCCCTCAAGGAGGATAGTTTCCGTGCGTAAGAGAATCCAAACCAAACTGAGAATTCCATGCATCACACCTACACATAATAATATAACAATAATATTCCTTGCATCTGATAACACACCTTATCACTTATCATTGAGACGTCTCAAAACGCTTCGCAGAATATGCCGTAAAGTGAATTGGCTGTATAGTTTGTGGGCGAAACACGGCAGCCAATTGCACATGGAAATTCCAGAGATAGATTGTAATGGAATGCGCACTCTCTCCCTGGAGGGCCGCAGTCTGCTTGCCTAACTGAGACATGATTAATATGTTGGTCAAAGCATCAGCTCATCAACATTCACTTCTCTGCGCCAGTTTCTGATTATTATATCCGAATGTTAACAGTTGTTATATTCAGATGTAATATGAATATATTATACCTGAGGACCTGGATTGCCTTTAATCATGCGGTAGCTTTCTATAAGCTTGGCTGGGGTATGGGAGAATTGTAAAGAGAGGGGCAAGGAACAGATTGTATCAGGTACTCTGAGTCCTCTCTCTCTCTCTGTGTGACTGTGCTCACATCTGTCTATTCAGTTTGCAGCTTCTCCTCATATCCTCCTCTGACAGAGGCACCTTCTGGCTTGGTTATTGCTGACATAATAATAAAAATAACAACACAACAATATAAAAATCATGCAGCACCTTCCACAGCAGATGAATGGTCCTAAACTCTTGACAGAGTAGTAATCCTACATTAATCCTTGCCTTTGATATGGCGCCTCACGATGTCTTCGAGACGTCTCAAAGCGTTTCACAGAATATACTGTAAAGTGACTTGACTGTATATTTTGTGGGTGAGACCCGGCAGCTGATTGCGCACAGCAGTGTCCCACAAACAGTCGTGGATTGAAGTGACCAATTTAAAATATAATGGATCAGAAATGACGTGTGTGTTATTACGGAGTAAATGCAGCAGCCCCTGATGACCCCCAAACTCACACTGAGATCAGTGACCCATTCAGGTCAGCTTGGGGGTGAATGAGGGTGTGAAGGTGTGAGGGTGTCAAGATCCTCATCCTCACCTTTAAGGCCATCCATGGTCTTGCCCCCTCCTACCTCTCTGATCTGCTGACTCCCTACCAACCTGCCCACTCCCTCCGCTCATCAGGCTCTGGCCTGCTCCATGTCTCCCGCTCGACCCGCCCTACCATCAGTGGCCGGGCTTTCAGCCTCTCTGCCCCCACACTCTGGAACTCCATCCCACAGTCCCTTCACCTCGCATCCTCCCTCACATCCTTCAAGGCCGGTCTCAAGACCCTTCTCTTCGACCGTGCCTTTGGTCTCCCTCCCACCTCCCTGTCTTCCCTCACGCCTACACCACCCCTCCCCCATTCTCGGGCCCCAACATCTGGCTGTTCAGCGCTTTGGGACGTCCTCCCGACGTGAAAGGTGCTCTATAAATGTCATTTTGTTGTTGTTGTTGTTGAAAGGGGATATAAACCAGGAGAAAAGCCTCCATGTTTCTGTGAGATAGTGAGAGCGGGACGATCTCTTTCCACCCGTCTGTATCAGAAGACAGATGGGACCTGAAATTACTAACAGTCAAAGATTGAGAAATAAATAATAAATGTTAATAAAAATCCTTACGTTCAAAGCTCCATGAACCACCGAGAATGACTCAAACTGCTTCACAACGGTTGTGTCAAGTGTGGTGACTGTGCATTTTGTACGCATATTTGGCAACTAATTTGCATACAGCAATGCCTCACAAATAGTCAATAGACGTGAGTGACTGATTTTTTCTGGGAGATTGTTGGCCAGGACACCAGGAGAGAGAAACTCCCTTCACTTTTCCAATAGCACCAATGGGATCCTTAATGTTCATCTGAAGCACATGGGACCTCATTTTAACGTGTCATTTGAGGGACGGCACCTCTGACAGCTCAGCACTCCCCCAGCAATGCACTGGAGTGTCAGCC